CAAATCCAAAACACATCCCTGAGGAAGATGCAGCATTGGAACTGCTTGATAAGGAATTCAAAAGAATTATATTTAACTATCTTAAACAAACTGAGAGATCAAGGAAAACACAGACAAAACCCTAGAAGAATTTCAGAAGAAAAAAAGAACAAAATGAAAAAATAAATGAAAAATTTGAAATGATTCAAAATCTACAGATAGAAATCCAGAAGATAATACTAAATTGTCAGAAATAGGTAACACTGAAAGGGCAAAAGAGTAGAATTGATGCAATGGAAGACAGAATTAATGAGATTGAAGACAAACACCTGAATACTTCTTTGGAAAGTAATCAATCAGAAAAAAGATCAAATAAAATGAACTGAAGAAAGCCAAAGGTTCATGTGGGATACCATCAAAAGGAATAACCTATATGTTACTGGAATTCCAGAATAGGAAGAGAAAAATAAAACCACTGAGAAAACTGTCCAAGATTTGTTGGAAGAGAACTTTTCTAAAGTGTCTTTCATATACACTATGAGGAGCGCTTTGAGACCAAGTGCACTAGCTAGAAAGACCAGTGACCATAAAGCCACCAACATAAGGTCCTAGTGCAGACCTTATTGATAAGGGTCACACTCCCATGGGAAGGAGGTGGCTGGAGTATGCCCTTTGGGTGCAGGAGAGCTGGGCCCCTGTGGTAAACAGAGCCTCTCTCTCCAAGGCCATGGAGCTCCTGACAGGCAGGCCTCTCTTGGCTCTGCCGGGTGCTGGGGTGGCCCCGTGCTACCAGCTCTGGAGGAGGAAGTGCTCAACTGCTGCTTCTGTACACACTTCCTTGAAAAGATGGTTTATCACAGAAGGATTCAGGGCCCATTTCCCACGCGAACAAGCTGAAGGCTGAGATCACAGGCTTAGAATTTGAAGGTGCACTTATCTCCCTTACTTTATGGATTCAGAAACTGAGGCTCACATGGATTAAGTCACTTCTCCAAAGTCCCAAGGTTGGTCAGCAATCTTCTAACACCAAGGTCAGGGTTAAATGATCATGATGCCTACCAACACCAAGTAAACATAACTCTCTTTTCTTACACATGGGAACAAGGCCTGGAAGTGGCTTGAAAAGTTACTAGTCAGTTTCTTTGCCTTTAGCCAGACAGAGGAAGATACATAAATGGTGTCAAAGTGTGACAACTTTATGTTTGCCAAACAGAAGCAATGAGGTGGTCTGGTTCCATATTGAAAATGGGTATTAAAATTAACTAGGCTACCAAGATAGTAAAAAAAAAAAAAAATATATTTTTCTGATCTTGGTGAAATTTCAAGGGTAAATATATGTGGCACACACAAGACAGTTGAGCAAACCAACCAACCTCCTGCAACTGAAGTATTTCTGCTTCCAGACTCTTCAATTTCTTCTCGCTCTCTTTGGATTGAGCAAAAATCTCATCCCGGGAGGCACGAGCTTCTTCTAATTCACGTTGGTAATCTTTCATCTGAGCCTAAGATTCAACAGAAAGATGATTTGAGTGGATTTCATTCTATATTTTTAAACATGATTCCTCCTTTCCCAATGATAAAATTAATACACACTGATTTTAGGAAACATGAACAGTATGACAGTGACAAGGACACCATAAGGAAAAAATATGCAGACCAATATTCCTTTATGAATATCGATGCAAAAATCCTCAGCAATATAGTAAGCAACTTAAATCCAGCAACAGATAAGAGTGGTTACTGTCCCAGGAATGCATGTTGGTTTAACATCCAAACATTAATTAATGGAATATAGTGTTGTGGATTGAATTATGTGTTGTGAATCCTAGCCTATGGCCTGTGATTAGAACACCATTTGGCCCTGGGCTGTTTTTATTATGCTAGTAACGCAGGGTTAGGGCAGAGTATATCTCTTTTGAGATATAAAGGATTAAATATGTGAGCAGAGGAGAGATGGGTTAAGACAGATGCCAAGACACATAGAGCTCTCCAAGGAACCGGGAAGCAGAAGCTGCAGAGACAGGGACCTTCCTCCAGAGCTGACAGAGAGAGAAAGCCTTGCCCTAGAGGCAGCACCCTGAATTTGGACTTCTAGACTTCTAAACTGTGAGAAGCAGCAGCCAGGGCCGATGGCTGGAATAGGTAAGAGGGAGAGCCCCCAGGCAGGAAGCTAAGGGAGACGAACTTGTCTGTCAGTCTGTCCTACTGTAGGTTTGCGTGTTGCTGTGAGGCTGGAGGCTGTGCCACTGGTGTTTCAAACACCAGCAGGGTCAACAACACAAACGGTGGCCATACATGTGGACTTCCCCAGATGGAGCACACAGGGGTCAGACTGACTACATCTGTGGCAAGAGGCCGTGGAGAAGCTCAATGTCTTCAGCCAAAACAAGGCCAGGAGCTGACTGTGGAACAGACCATCAACTGCTCATATGCAAGTTCAACTTGAAGTTACAGACAATTAAAGGAAGTCCACAAGAGCCAAAATATGACCTTGAACATATCCCTCCCAAATTTAGAGACCATCTAAAGAATAGATTTGATTGCATTGAATACTGATACCTGAAAACCAGGAAACTGTGAGGTGACATTAAGAACATCATCCATGAAGAAACCAAAAGGTCACTAAAAACACAGGAAAGGAAGAAAAGACCAAAATGGATGTCAGAAAATGTCAGAATGGATGTCAGAACTTGCCCTTGAATGAAGAGTGGCTAAAGCAAATGAAAGAAATGACCAGCTGAAAGAACTGAACAGAAGATTCCAAAGGGCAGCTCGAGAAGACAAAGTCAACTATTATAATGAAATGTGCACAGACATGGAGTTGGAAAGCCAAAAGGGAAGAACACGCTCGGCATTTCTCAAGCTGAAAGAACTGAAGAAAAAATTAAAGCCTTGAGTTGCAATACTGAAAGATTCTATGGGCAATATAGTGAATGATGTAAGAAACATCAAAAGAATTACTGTACCAAAAAGAACTGGTCAAAGTTCATCCATTTCAGGAGGTGGCAATATGATCAAGAACCAGTGGTGTTGGAGGAAGAAGTTGAAGCTGCACTGAAGGAACTGGTGAAGAACAAGGCTCCAGGAATTGATGAAAAGCCCACTGAGATGTTTCAACAAATGCATGCTGTGCTGGTGGCACTCACTTGGCTATACCAAGAGATGTGGAAGACAGCTACTTGGCCAACTGACTGGAAGAGATCCATATTCGTACCCATTCCAAAGAAAGGTGATCCCACAGAATGGGAATGGGAATTCCAGAACACTTAATTGTACTCATCAGGAACCTGTACATAGACCAGGAGGCTGTCATTTGAACAGAACAAGGGGACACTGCATGGTTTAAAGTCAAGAAGGGTGTTTGTCAGGGTTGTATCCTTTCACCATACTTACTGTATGCTGGAAAAA